CCTCACACTCATTGTCTTACAGTGGGCATCCAGAAACTCACATCTGTACACAGCCTTCTTTCCAGGGGCCATCATTCCAGGGGCATCCCTGAACCAGGCCCTTTACACTTAGACAGCAACAGCATGGAAAGAAAAGTTCTGCCCAGCCCCAGAAGAACTGGATGCTGCTGAGTCCTGCCCAGCACAGAAGTACCATTGACTTACATTTTGAATTTTTCCAGGTCTGGGCATTGAACTCAGGGACTTACATATATAAGGCCAGCATTCTATTGCTGTGCTATCCTACTGTGGTGGTTTAAATAAGAAATATCCCCCCATAGTTTCAGGCATTTAAACACTTGGTGGCCAGTTGGTGACGCTGTTCGGCGAAGTTTAGGAGGTGAGGCCTGCTGTAGGAAGTGTGTCACTGGGGGCAGGCTTTAAGATGCAAGAGCCTTGCCTGTTTTCAGTTTGTTCTCTCTGGCTCATACACAAAGCACGAGATGTAAGCTCACAGCTTCCTGCTCCTTCCACCGTGCCTGCCACTTGCTGCCATGCTCCCAGACATGATGGACTTTCACTCTTCTGAAATTGTAAGCCCAAACAAACTTTCTTATGTAAGTAGTCTTGGTCTTGGTGTTTTATCACAGCAATAGAAAGTAACTAAAGATAGATGTCAGTACCAGATAGTGGGCTGCTGCTGTGAAGAACCTGATCACAGTTGTTTTGTTTTGTCTTATTCTTTTGGAGGAATGTGGAAGACTAGAAAAGTGGTTGAATTCTGTAAGCAGAATGCAGTGGACTGTTCTGGGATCTTGGAAGAGAGCACTGAGAGCAATAAGGGCTGTAGAGGATAAGCTCAAGCGATTTCAGAGGGGAATGTTAGCAGCTGGGCTAGAGGCCATTCCTGTGATGTTTTAACAAAGAATGTGGCTGTCTTCTGCCCTTGTCCTAAGAACTTGCCTGAGGCTATGTTAAATAGTAATGGGCTAATTTCTTTGGTGGAGGCAAGTTCAAGAAAGTATAATATTGAATCTGTGGTGTGGATATTATTAATGACTGTTCTACAGGTCTACAATAAGAAAAGAGGACACAGGGCAGAGAGAAATATAAAACGTACAGTTTGAAGAGAAAGAGAACACCTGGAGACTGAATATTACAGCCAAGGCTTGTGCTGAAAGAGGTAAAGGGATTAGGAGAGGCCTCAGCTCTGCATTGGAATAAATGGATGGTTACCTCAGGGAGAGACCACACAGCTAAGCTTCCAGCTTGCAAAAGAACCTAAGTTCTTTTCTGCTCCTAAAACACAGCTGAATATAAGCTCTGCCCATGTGATTCAAGGGGGTAAGATCCATCCAATCTGGCAGATGGCCTTGGCAAGTGTCATCTATGTGCTAGTGGCTTTAGAGGCACAAAGGACACAAGAGTGAAGGAGTTGTGTTTTCCCACAGTAATAGGATGTAAACTAAGACACCCGTAGCCCTTATCATTGACTCTTGGTGGTCCCTTGTCACTGTGTATTGTGTTTACCGGGTAGATCTTAAGGGAATCTGAAAACCTGATTGTTATTTTTTTAATGTAGGTTTCGTCTTAAAAACAAAATAAAACAAGCAAATGGTAGGTAGAGGTATGCAAATAACCCTGTTATGAATAATTAACAGAATCCTAACCATGCACTAGGTTCTGCTGGAAGTCGTGTGTACTGACTGAGCTTAACATACAGCAATCCAACACACAGCCATTGTTGTGATTATCATCGACATCCTAGTTGTTACCATCCCTATTTTTAAATTTTAATTATGTGTACGTGTGTATGTGCGTGCGTGCGTGCGTGCGTGCGTGCGTGCGTGCGTGCGTGTGTGTGTGTGTGTGTGTGTGTGTGTGCATATGTACACATAAGCACAGGTATTCACTAACATCAGAGGCACCAGATCCCCCTAGAACTGCAACTTCAGGCAATTGTAAGACACCCAAGATGGATGCTGGCAGACAATCTCAGGTCCTCTACAAGAGCTGTAGTGCTCCTAAACACTGAGACACCACTCCTGCCCTTCCAGCCCTGTTTTAAAGCTGAGGAATTGATCGTGAAGAAGGTTATTGGTTTGCCATTGTCTCTGACAGGGTGAATGACAGAGAGCCAAGCTATGAACCTGAACAGTAGGAACACTGAGCCAGCATCATTTCCCCCAGTGCCATGCTCAGAGCACCTCAACACTTTTCACAAATAAAGTGCTCAATTGTGTCTATAAGGAAAACTAGATAGCTGGTGTGACCAGCTTCCTGGATCAGTGCAGTCCAAACAACTCCATGGGTCATCCCAGGATGATATAAAGACAGATCCCTGCAGAGACTTTGGGTGTCTGATAGCATGGAGTATTTCCTGTACTTCTGATGCAAGGTAGAATTTGATTACGATAATAGGCACAGAATGATCGTGTTTATACTGGCAACCTGGCATTTTAAAATTATTCCCCCGAATAAGAGTGAAAAGAGTTTTGTAACCCCAAGGTAACATGGTTCTGTGAGGAGGAAAGAGGCCGAGGTTTAGCAGCGGCTGCCATCATAAATCAGTGTGTGGCAGTTTCTCTCAGAGCTCCGGGCTCAACTCCTAGCTGTCAGAAACTTGTAAAGGGAAGCCCCGTGAGAATTTATGTAACGACGGGAAGGCTCATTTTCCTTCCTGCAAGAGCCTTTCTGGAGCAAGGAGAGGATTAGGCTGATTAAATTCTCTACGGAGAAAAAAAAAAATCCAAACCCAAGGTTCAGAGGGAGGGAGAATGTGGGTCAACTTGAGCTATTTCCCTTGCCCCCTAAAAATTGACCTTGTAAACAGAGAAGAACATGCTGAATGCCACCAAATAAATGAATGATTGGGGAACTGAATGATTTAATGACTGAGTGTGATCCAGGCTTCCTCTGGGCTCGCTCTTGCAGTGTGAGAACAGTTCGATCCCAGACTGACCCAGAAATGCTGAGTGCATAACAAGGCCAATCAACAGAGTCAGCTTCTGAATATTCATGGACAGATGATGCTCCCAGCCACTGTGTTTGGTTTTTGTGTTTACTGATACATTTTCAAATTCACTGTGTAGACCAAAATTGTGGGGTGTTGGGGGACGGGAAGAAACTTGTGCTGAAGTGAATATTATTTCTGGGCAGGGCTGTTGGGTAAAAATACTTAGAGCAAAAATGTATTCACTGTTTATCTGAAATTCAGGTCTAACTGGGCATCCTGTATTTTTATATGCCAAATCTGGAGATCTGTTTCTGAGCCAATAATGCTCAGGAGAGGGTTGAGGTCGATAGCTGGGGACATGCTACACCTGGGAGCTGTAAGGAAGGAAAGCCAAAGGTGGGGTCTAAGAAACAGAAAACTGTGCAGAATGTGGAGGCAGAACCAGGTGACTCTAGAGGTCAGGTAAGCAGAGAAACACAGGTATTGGGAAAGAAGGTGACCTGGAGGATGCTGGGTAAGGGAGCATCCTCACTTTCTGATGAAGCTATAGAGTCGGTTGTAGGATTTGGCTTTATAAGGCTGCTGGTGCTTCTGAAAAACTACTCAGAGTTCCCAATGGGGTGTATGTTAGGAACACCTGCAGAGATTGGAATCAAAGTCTACAAGCCAGGAGACACATATCTGTAACCCTAAGACTTGACAGATAAGGCAGGAAGATCAGGAGTTCAAGGCCAGTCTGAGCTACTGAGATCCTTCCTCAAACAACAATAACAACAACACACATACATACACACAACAGAATTCAAACAAGTAAATTAAGCCAGTCAGTGTTGTCCCACGCTTTTAATCCCAGCACTCAGGAGGCAGAAGTAGGCGAATCTCTGAGTTCGGGACCAGCCTGGTCTACAGAGTTCCAAGACAGCCAGTTTACACAGAGAGACCTTGTCTCAAAAATCCAAAAAGAAAAAAGAAAAGAACAAGTAAATTAGTGCCTTCCCCTCTGGAGATTGGTGAGAGATTGAAAACACAATCAATCTATTTTTGCATTTTTCCTGAAAATCATGAAGGAGGTGCATAGTTCGCCACAACTTCTTCAAATGTCCTCACCTTCCACTCCCTTTAAAGCCTGTTTTCTCCAGTGACACTCTTAACTTCTTCAATTTTCATGGTTATTTTTTCCATCTTATTGCATAGATCAATGTGGTCTTGCCTGAAAAGGGATTCAACCAATCTGATTCTAGAGGCCTTCTAGAAGGAGTGATAATTAAAGATTGAAGAATCATCCTTGGCAGACTGGGAAAGGAGAAATACGAATTCTCTTAGTCTGCCTCTAGCATTTCACAAGCTTTCCAGTCATTCCCATGTGTGGCCCCTTTGAGGACTCTTTTCTAAGACAGAACACTTTTCATTTCTTGAAAAGTCCTATATCTTGGCAAGTTTCTCCTTGCAAAGTCCATTTGTCTTTCTGTACTTTTTCTAGAAAGAGATTCCATGGTGTGAGATTTGACATTTGTCACCTGTCAAATCTTGGCAAAGCCTAAAGAGCCATGCCAAGAGCAAGTGACCCAAAATAACTAGTTGAGTCCCCCAGTTAAGACTCCTGGCTCTCACTTCCGCAATGGCTGGCTCTAAAAGGAGGGTGACCTTGGTGGTGCAACCACCTCTGTGAGTAGAATGATCCTGAGGACAACACTTCTAGGCCTCCTTGGAGCTATCTTAGAGGGCACTCTCAGGAGAGCCAATCCTGAAGGCCAAATCAGGAGAGCTATACTGAGTGGGTGGGCTTAGCCTTTATCTAGCCGGCCTGTCAATGCCCCTAGAGACCGTGCTGCATCTTACTAGTGTGAGCCCTGGAGGTTCCAATTGTTTTGAACAATTTGCTGGTTCTCATCCTTCTCATATTACCCCTCAGTTCCTCGATGTGCCCAAGGAGTCACCTCAAGGCTCGGGTGAGCAAAGATGGCAAGCAGCAGCCCCAATCTACTGTTGTCTTCAAATCTCTAAGACCTGAGGGAGGCCATGTTCATTTGATTCAAACCTATTTCAAATACTTCCCCTGCTCGTTCCTAACTTCTTTCAAAATTCAAGGCAATGAAATCTTTCTAAACAAACTCCAGTGACAGCTCTGCTCACCCTTTGACAGACTGCTGTTAAAGGTCAGCTTTCCCCAGAAGAAGGAAGGAGAGAGGACAAAATGGAGGCCTCCTTTCCAGAGGCAACACCTGTGAACAGTCTGACGTCTTGCTTCATAAACTTATGGGACTTTCAAGGGGTGGATCAACAGCGTGTCACCAGTGCCAATTAAACAAGCACATAGCAATGATTAAAAAAAAAAATCGCACCTAGTAAGCTGTGAGTGGTAGCATGCACTTGTAATCTCAATACTCAGGAGGGGAAAGCAGGAGAATAGGGAATTTAAGATCATCCTTTGCTTCACCAGGAGTTCAAGATCATCTCAAGCTATACGAAACCTTGTCTCAAAGATCCCAAAACCCAAAACCCAAAACAAAGCAATAACAACAAAATACGTGTGAAATGCAAATTCAAAGTTTTGTGATGTGAGCTCATTTTTTTGTATTCATGGTCATAACACATATATGCACGCATAAGGACATGTATTCTATTATATGTAATTGTATGTAGCATTGCTAAGTTTCCACAGCAATTTCTTCTCAAGAATATAAATAACATGTGTAAAAGCATGAACTCCATTCTTTCTTTATGAGCCCTGATTATCTTTTGATGTTGTTGCTATTTTGAGATAGGACCACATGCAGCCCAGGCTGACCTTCAACTTGCTTTATAGCCAAGAATAACCTTGAACTTCTGATCAATACTGACTTTACATGAATGTAGTACCACACCCAGGTTAGGTCATCTATTAAGACAACAGCTCTCAACCTGTGGGTATGTGACCTTTGGGGTTGCATATCAGATATTTACATTATGATTCATAACAGTAGCAAAATTACAGCGGTGAAGTAGCAGTGAAATAATTTTAAGGTTGGGTATCACCACAACATGAGGAACTGTACTAAAGGGTCACAGCATTAGGAAGGTAAAGAACCGCGGCATTGGGATGTGTTATTATTTGTGGTCTTTTCTGTTTACAGACATCTGTGCAGCACAGCTCTATAAACCCTCCCACCTTGGTGGCTGTCCCCTTGGTGCCTCTGTGCTTTGCTCTCTGCCTTTGGCCACCAGATGGCATTCTGGAAACATTCCCAGCACTCCCGCAGACTCAACTGGCCTCCCTTCTCTGCTACCTTCCCGGGTGCAGATGAAGAGGCTGTCTGGAAGGCAAATCTGTAGGATCTTGGACAGCTTTCCTGTGTTTAGCTTCTTTAGCCTGATGATTTGGTCGTGCGGTGGGGGCAGGGGAGGGGGATGAGAAGACATGGGTAAACCACTCAGGACAGAAGCTAGCAAGTCATTCTGAGCTCATCATCCTGCTTTGAGCTAGCTCCTTTGGCCTCCAGAAAAAGTTTTAGGTCCTTCCTGTGGGGGCCCAGGTCTTTCATCATCCAGTGACCCTTGTCCTGCCTTCCTTCATCTCTACCACACAGACCCTCCAGGTGCAGCAGAAGGAACCAGCTTGTCCACATTGGAGTCTCTGCCCAGCCTTCATCTGTGGCCTGCTTTGCCTTTTTCTGCTCTTCCTGTTGCCCTAGTGAACTACTCCTGTCCATCAGCACGTGTCCTGAGGCACTGCCACTAACTCTCAGGCTACAGTCCATAGTGACTGCACTGGGTTCACTTTTTCATTTCCCCTACTTTTGCATTGACCGTAAGCCCTTTGGGGTCAAGGTCTCTTTGCTGCCTGGTGCAGTAGTAGGATGAATAAGGGCCAAACAGTGAGGTTATCATGTAGGCTGCACCAGAGGACAATGAGCATCCACTGTGTTCCTGTGCTCTGAGGGGGACCACATGGCTCCCCTTGTAGTATAGGCTGCATCTTGCCCACCCAGAGCTAAGAGAGTCCAGACAAAGAAGAGAAAATGGTAGTCCCTACCTACTGAAAGGTTCCTGCCAGGCCCCACACTCAGGCCTCCATGTGAATCCCTCTTTTCGTCCTCACTATAAACTTGTAGACAGATAGATGGGAATCACACTTTCAGAGACAGAAGCTCAGGCTCAGAGACTCAGTCATTTGTGCTCTAAATCTGAAAGGGTCTGACAGTCCCCAAAGCTGGGCCATAGGAGATGGCCCTATGGACTCAGGACCCTTGTCATCGCTGAGGTGGTTGGGCAAACTCCATGAATGAAATGCAGGATGGAAGGAAAGAAAGGGCAGAGGGAAGGGGAAGGAGTGCACGTGGCTAGCATTCAGCCACCCCAAGCCTGACTGGCATGGATTTCCAAGCCAACAAGTCCTGAGTAGTGTCACTGTGTCCAAATGGGGCATCTCTGGCCCCAAGGACTCAGCAGTAGACACCAATCTTTGGGAAGTTGACCTTAATTTCCACCATTTCAAATGCTTTACAGACCCCAGAATAAACCTACATAAGGCTGGGGCATAAGGCTAGAAGAATATTGGAAGCAACAGAAGGAGGAAAACAGAAGCCACGAGGCCAGCAGCCTGACCACTCCTCTGCCTCTCTGCATCTCACCTAAGTGAGGAGGTGAGTGGGAGGGAGGGCTCACCTTCAGTCCAGGGGTGGGAGTGGAGGCAAGGCAGCTGCTGCCTTCACAGGTCTCTCACAAACAAAAGTGGGGTGAGAAGAATTGGAGGAAGGGAGGGAAAGACGGATGAAAGGGAGAGGAAGGTGTGGGAGAAGGAAACATGAAAAGCTTGAGACAGAGGAAGGGAGGCGGGGGTTCCCCAGACAGGGACTCAAGTTGGACCAGATGCAGAGAACAATGGATCCCAAGGATCTCAGGAAGGGGAGGGGGAGGGGAGCCTTGCAGTCAGATCAGACGGGTCTTTCCTTCATTACAGCTTCTGGTAGAACCACTGACACCCTCAGGGGTCAATGTGAGTCAAAACTATCCCATGGCCAATGTAAGAGCACCAACCACAGCTGGAATGAGCTCTGTCAACAACGTTATTGTTTGATTTGGGACCCTGGTCCTAGGGATTTTACACTTTATTTCATCCAGTCCTCACAATTTCCAGCATGGAGGACAATAATTGTCCTCAACACCCCACTTTGAAGATGAAGGAATAGAGGCCCGGGCAGGTTAAGTCATTCATCCCAGAAGACCCAGCTGATAAGCTGCAAAGTCAGCATTTGAGCCTGTGCCATTTTAGCTCCTGTGACTTTTCTACTAATAATAGCTGCTTCTCAGAGAGACAAACATGGGGGCAAAGTTGAGGCAGAGAGTCCAACAAGTATAAGAAAAAGACAGGGGCAGAAGGTAGAAGAATAGAGGAAGAAGGCAGAGAGAGAGAGAGAGAGAGAGAGAGAGAGAGAGAGAGAGGGGGAGCCTGATGTGCCCTAGAGGGACTTCAGTATAGGTCAAGTTCTTTGCTCACTTGGCTACACAGTGGCTCCCTGTCCCTCATTGGCTGCCTTGCTGTGTAGACAGCACCTTTCTATCCAGCCCGTCCCAGGAGCCCTGGCCTCATCCTCTTCAGCGACAGGCCTCTCAGCCTCACAGGAAATGCTCTTTCTCTAATTGCCATTGAAACTCACAGCCCTCCCTTTTCCTGTAGGTGGGGTTTCCATAGGAAAAAGCTGCTTCTCTGTTTCCCCAGCCTAGTTACTGTTTGCAAGTCAGATCCTTACATCCCGCTTTACTAGGTCAAGTCTCTCTCAGACCGGTTCCTGCCCATCACTGCTAAGTGGACCAGCTGGTGCTGCTGTGGAGCAGGAATCTCTTCTAGCAATTCATCGGTTTGGGGACCTCTCCAATCACTTTTCACAAAGATGGCCTTACTTGCGAATCCTGCTGCTTCCAGCATCTTCTAATTATGGGACAAAGTTGTACCAGCAGGTCTGAAGCAGGAGATCCAGGCTGATCGAGTCATTCAGGATCCACTGGGGGACGTGTCCCGCCTTTGAAGAGCTAGCTCCAGCAGGTTGAGTCCAGTTCTCCCTGCGGTACTTCTGCCATTCCTGCTAGGACTCTTGGGGCCAGGAAGCTACTTGTTCCTTTCAGGGGATTGTCAGGAGGTGGCCACTCTCATGGTGAAATTCCAAGTGACAGAGGAAGTGCCATCCGGCACAGTGATAGGGAAACTGTCCCAAGAACAGGGAGTGGAGGAGAGGCGTGGGAAGGCAGGAGATGCCTTCCAGATCCTGCAGCTGCCTCAGGCACTCCCTATTCAGATGAACTCTGAGGATGGCCTGCTCCGCACTTCCAGCCGGCTGGATCGGGAGCAGCTATGCCGGCAGCAAGATCCCTGCTTGGTGTCCTTTGATGTGCTTGCCACAGGGGCTTCGGCTCTGATTCATGTGGAGATTCAGGTACTGGACATCAATGACCACCAGCCTCAGTTTCCCAAGGGTGAGCAGGAGCTGGAAATCTCTGAGAGTGCCTCTCTGTACACACGAATCCCCTTGGACAGAGCTCTTGACCAAGACACTGGTCCTAACAGCTTGTATTCCTACTCCCTGTCTCCCAGTGAACACTTTGCCCTGGATGTTATTGAGGGGCCTGATGAGACCAAACATGCAGAACTTGTGGTAGTGAAGGAGTTGGACAGGGAAGTCCACTCGCTTTTTGATCTGGTGCTGACTGCCTATGACAATGGGAATCCCCCTAAGTCAGGCACTAGTGTGGTCAAGGTCAATGTCCTGGATTCCAATGATAATAGTCCAGTGTTTGCTGAGAGTTCCCTAGCACTAGAAATCCCAGAAGACACTGCCCCTGGCACTCTTCTCATAAACCTAACTGCTACAGACCCAGACCAAGGACCCAATGGGGAGGTAGAGTTCTTCTTTGGTAAGCATGTGTCTCCAGAGGTGATGAACACCTTTGGTGTAGATGCCAAGACAGGCCAGATCATTCTGCGCCAAACCCTAGACTATGAAAAGAATCCTGCCTATGAGGTGGATGTCCAGGCAAGGGATCTGGGTCCCAATTCTATCCCAGGCCATTGCAAAGTTCTCATTAAAGTTCTAGATGTCCATGACAATGCCCCAAGCATCCACGTGACATGGGCCTCCCAGACGTCACTGGTGTCAGAAGATCTTCCCAGGGACAGTTTCATTGCTCTAGTCAGTGCAAATGACTTGGACTCAGGAAACAATGGTCTGGTCCACTGTTGGCTGAACCAAGAGCTGGGCCACTTCAGGCTAAAAAGGACTAATGGCAACACATATATGCTGCTCACCAATGCTACACTGGACAGAGAGCAGTGGTCCGTATACACTCTCACTGTGTTCGCCCAAGACCAAGGACCCCAGCCCTTATCAGCAGAGAAGGAGCTACGAATTCAGGTTGGTGATGTCAATGATAATGCCCCTGTGTTTGAGAAGAGCCGGTATGAGGTCTCCACTTGGGAAAACAACCCACCCTCTCTTCATCTTATCACTATCAAAGCTCATGATGCTGACTTGGGCATTAATGGAAAAGTGTCATACCATATCAAGGACTCTGCTGTTTCTCACCTAGTAGCTATTGATTCTGAAACGGGAGAAGTCACAGCTCAGAAGTCACTGGACTATGAACAGATGTCAGGCTTTGAGTTCCAGGTGATAGCAGAGGACAGAGGGCAACCCCAGCTTACATCCAGCATGTCTGTGTGGGTTAGCCTCTTGGATGCCAATGATAATGCCCCAGAAGTGATCCAGCCTGTGCTTAGTGAAGGCAAAGCCACCCTTTCAGTGCTTGTAAATGCCTCCACAGGCCACCTTCTGTTGCCCATCGAGAATCCCAGTGGCTTGCATCCAGCAGTTACTGGTACAACACCAATGGCTATCCACAGCCCCTGGTCTTTCCTTTTGGTGACAATTGTGGCCAGAGATGCAGACTCAGGGGCCAATGGGGAGCTCCTCTACAGCATTCAAAGTGGGAATGATGCTCATCTCTTTGTCCTCAGCCCCTCACTGGGGCAGCTATTTATTAATGTCACCAATGCCAGCAGCCTCATTGGGAGTCAGTGGGACCTGGGGATAGTAGTAGGAGATCAGGGCAGCCCCTCCTTGCAGACTCAAGTTCTGTTGAGGGTCGTGTTTGTCACCAGTGTGGACCACCTAAGGGACTCTGCTCGTGAGCCTGGGGTCCTGAGCACACCAGTGCTGGCAATGATCTGCCTGGCTGTACTGCTGGCCATCTTTGGATTGATCTTGGCTCTGTTTGTGTCCATCTGCCGCACCGAGAAAAAGGATAACAGGAACTACAACTGTCGCGAAGCTGAGTCCACATACCGCCACCAGCCCAAGAGGCCCCAGAAACACATTCAGAAGGCAGATATACACCTGCTGCCTATGCTCAGAGCCCAGGAGGGCGAGGCTGATGAAGTTAGGTCGTCCCACAAGGATACCAGCAAGGAGGCATTGATGGAGGCAGGCTGGGACTCCTGCCTGCAGGCCCCCTTCCACCTCACACCAACCCTATACAGGACCCTGCGTAACCAAGGCAACCAGGGAGCACTGGCAGAGAGCCAGGAGGTACTGCAGGGCACCTTCAACTTTCTTTTCAATCATCCCAGGCAGAGAAATGCCTCCCGAGAGAACCTAAGCCTTCCTGAGTCCCCTCCTGCCCTAGGCCAGCCACATTTAAGGCCTCTGAAGGTGCCTGGCAGCCCCATAGCAAGGCTGGCTGGAGACCAGGGCAGTGAGGCATCCTCACAGAGCCCACCAACCTCCTCTGCAACCCTGAGACGGCAGCGCAATCTCAATGGCAAAGTGTCTCCTAAGGGAGAGTCCGGTCCTCACCAGATTCTGAGGAGCCTGGTCCGGCTATCTGTGGCTGCTTTTGCGGAACGGAACCCCGTGGAGGGGCTTGCTGGAGATTCTCCTCCTGTCCAGGTACCTCTGGCATGGGCAGCTCTTTTTCTGGTCACCCTCAAAACACTACTAAGAGCATTAGACACCCTTATTTTTCATATTTACCCTTAGACTCACCCAGCACATTGTGATGCAGAAGTTAAGGGCACTGTAGCTGGGTTCAACAGATCTTAGCAGTGTGATCCCGGACTAACTACATGTGTCTGAGCCTCAGTTTCCCTGATAGTGAACTAGGAATAGTGTGTGCCTTGCAGAGTTGTCCTGAGGATCAGACCAGTTAACTCCTGTAAAGTACTTATGCATGCCTGGCACATGTGGACACACTGCAAAGGTAGTGATTAGGAATACAAACTTTGGAGTAAGGTTGTCTGGGTTCAAATCCTGGCTCTACCTCTTCCCACCTGTAGCTCATAGAAAAGTTCCTCAGCTTATCTGTGGCAGGGACCCACTTTAGCAGCATGCTCCCCGAAAGATGGCATCAAAACAAAATGAATGGATCAATGGCAGCCGTGGCTGGACAGCAGTGTCTGTTTGGCCTACAGTGTATGCTCAGCAAATGATTGCTATCACCTCCACAAGGCACCACTTCATCCCTGCTCGACCTGCTCATCTTGTCTAGGCAACCTCCCTGTGGAAAAGCCAGGCCTAGATGACGCTCCCCAAAGTTTCCCAGTTGGGAAACAGTGGAAACAACTATCTAGTGAGGCAAATCCCAGTTCAAATGCAGCAACTTAGAACTGGAGAGTGTAGGGAATGACCTTTAACTGAGGAGTCTCATTCTCTTCACCTACAAAATGAAAATTACGAAGTCAAAACCACATGGTCTCTACTGCCCTGGAAGGGAGGACTGATGCGATGACGGGTGGTCATCTGCTTCATGCCTGGGGATTTACTGAACACAAAGGGGAGGACTTTTCAGGGATGGTCCTTAACACATCCCTGCTTCTCTGACATCCAGAGAGCTTTCACTGGGCAAAGCTGAGCATCAGATACATATTTTTGTTGGGTCAGACAGGTAGCTCAGGCGTCTCATAGAGCAGGGAACAGCTTCCTTCCCAATCCCCTTCCCAGGAAGCCACTTGGAGGTGGTTTAGCTATTCTCTTAGGAATCTCACCCTGGGGCTCCCTGAAAACCCAGGGGGAACTACAGCCAACTCCTTCATTCATTCACTCACTCATCCACCAGCTGCTTTTAGGATGAACTCTTACGCCATGCCACTGGACATGACAGTAGAGAGCAGACACTCTGCATGATGTACTGAAGTGATGGGAAGAAAGGCACCCATTTGGAATCAATTGGAGGTCAAGAGTAAGTTGCCCAATACCCAGGTCTCTTTGACAGTTGATAGTCAGACCTGAGTTCAAGTTCCAGGCTTTGTTGCTTTGAGGACTGTGAGCCTCGGGTTCCATATCTGCATGGGATGGTATCACCTTCCTGCAGCTACTGTGTAGCACAAATGAGATTAGTTGTTACCAGGTAATTACTAAGTGCTACCTGGAGCTCTATCAACCACGTGATCTCAGTCTCATTATTATTTCCCTATTGTTGAGGAAACTAAGGCTCAGAATCCATAAGCAATTTTCTAGGGCCGTGAAGAAGGGAGGTAGGGAGGGAACAGGTTTAGGATGTGAACCTGAATCCAACTCCTGAGTTTGGGTTACAACTGTAAAGAGACTCTGAATGCCAGAATGCAGCACTGGGCTTCAGGTTGTATTTAGCTAGTGTCATTTGGGTAAAAGGTAAAAGGCACTTCTCTTTTAAGGTCTTCTGGGCCTGGTGGGGAGGCAGAATCTACCTGAGGCAGGCTATGGGGCCCTGATTTTCTCAAGCCACAATGCAATCCTTGTCCTGGCCTGGCCACCAAGAAGCACATTTTTAGAGGTAGCATCTGATCCCTGAGTCTTAGTGTCAACATTTCTAATTAGCACAGAAAATTCGAAGTGGAGAATGGGAACCCCTTCAGATGAAGCTGAGGTCTCCGTAGGTCTCAAATTCTGCCTGAAAGTTCACAAGCTAGTAACCATGAAGGAGAACTGGGTCTGCCAAGACTAGGTCTGTTTCCTCTTCCTCCAGGACCTGGGGGTGTAGAGATGACATCTAGACAATCCCCACTTCTCCCATCTTTCTGAAACACCAGTGTGTTTCTAGTATTTGAGAACCGCTTAACAGTAGCTGTCCTCACTTAATGTCCAGACCATCCCGTTTCTGGCGGAATTCCTGTAGAGCCTTGGGTCTCAGCAGGAGTTCCTGGCACACAGACAGAATTAAAAAAACATTTTTTGAATTGCCTGAAAGCCAGGTTTGGTGACACATGCCTATAGTTCCAGCCCCTCGGGAGACTAAGACAAGAGTTCAAGGGTAGCCTGCACAGCATAGTAAGATCCTATCTCAAAAGACAAGTAAGTCAATGGTAATTGTCTTCAGCAGACCTCCTTGCTTACTGCCTGCTCCAAAATAGGTTTGAGACTGCTGCTCCTACGGACCTCACCCCTTCCCACACTCGTCTCTGTCACCCTCTTCCCTGCCTTCCTTGTAAATCATGAACTTCCGAATACAATGGAGGTCCCCTTCTCATTTTTATAAGTCCCACAAAAACACTATGCCTGGCACAAAGAAATACTTTTTAAATCATGTCTGTTGATTAACAGGTGAATAAGTGAATTGGTTAAATGACACCATTTCTGCCCTGTACCATGCAGTCTTGCATAACCCCCAAGCTAGAATGCTTGACTATAGCTCAAAGGGGAAAATAACTCTTGAAGTTAATCCTTATTAAAGTAACAACATCATTGTCTGAAAATGCCTTTTTCACTCCAACCCTTCAACTCAACCAGTCACTCCAGGGAATGAGCTTGTGCGGATGGGTCCGAGGGTCCCCATACTGTCTCCTTTAGCTGCCCAGGGCCTGCAGTGACATGACAAAACCAGGAAGCACCCTCCCCCAGGTCCCTGTCTCAGTCACACAGGTCCATTCCCCCATCCCCCATCTGATCGCAGAAGCATCTAAAGCCAGAGGAAAAACTATAAAAAGAAAGCACCAGCATTGAGGGAAACATCCGGCGAGGAAGCGTGCTGGGTCGGAATTGTGTGGAGTCAACAGATTTTTCCTGTCTTGTAGCAAATCTCCCAGCTGCTGTCCTTGCTGCATCAGGGCCAATTCCAGCCCAAACCAAACCACCGAGGAAATAAATACTTGGCCAAGCCCGGCGGCAGCAGGTAAGCAGCATGTAGCACCCACAGCACTGTCTCCTCCAGGCTACTAGGTCACTACAGCCTTGGTGAGTGTGGAAGGAGAAGCACCCTGTGAGCCCAGCCCAGGGGTACATGCAGCAGACAGCACCCATCCCCCTCTCTGGAGGCTCCATCCTGGGGCCTCTATATTTATGATATTTACAGGTCGAAGTGTCGCTAAGGAAATTGCTTCATCTCTTAGCTGTGACTACAACCCCTGAATACTCGACTGGTTTGAAATCTGTAACTTTTACCTTTCTTTCTATTGGCCTACAAGCATACTATATAAGGTTGTAGATATGAGGGCGTGCCCCTGAAGGCAATCCTGGAATTTAAGATATCAAATCCTATCTTTCTATATGTATGGAGAAACAGATTTTCTTTCTGTAGGCTCAACATTTGAGTCTGTGGGAAGAAATTGCCAACAGACCAGCAAACAGGAGAAAAGCCATAGTAATTATTTTACATTTATTTGTTTTGCATATGAGTTGGGGGAGGTGTGTGTGTGTGTGTGTGTGTGTGTGTGTGTGTGTGAGAGAGGACAGCATGTGGATGTCCTCTCTTTTCCATCACACTGGTTTCAGGGATTGAACTCTGGGCATGTGGGTTTGGTGGCAAGTGCCCTTAGCATCTATCTGAGGCATCTATCTCACAGGCCCCATAACAATTTCTTAAACCATTGTTTTATGTGATACAGAGGAAGCCTTTAGATTGAAGATCCACAGACCCATCTTTAAGATTGGGTGCAGTATTTCAGGGATATCTGTGAAAATATATTTGGCTAAAAGGGTATGGGCAAATTGAAACTTAGACCAAGGAGGGAGTTCCAGCAAGGCTTTTCTGTATGGCTTCTCTGCTGCTCTACTGAGCATTCCCTGCTTCCAGGTATGAGCTAGGAGCTTTTCTGGAATGAGGGACTTACAATCTGCAATCAAGCTAGGCAAGTCAGAGATTTTTTTTTTGTTTGTTTTTTAGTTTTTTTGTTTGTTTGTTTGTTTGTTTTGAGTCAGGGTTTCTCTGTGGCTTTGGAGGCTGTCCTGGCACTCGCTCTTGTAGATCAGGCTGGCGTCAAATTCACAGAGATCCACCTGCCTCTGCCTCCTGAGTGCGCCACCGCCGCCCAGCAAGAATTTCTTTTTTGCCAGTCTTACACAGAAAGTAAAGGGGAAAGTCAAGTGTGTTTTAGGTTTTATGGTTGGCTTTGGGAAAAGTTCTAGCTTCTGCGACCTACTTTGGGAAAGGAATTCTAGATTGCTATCTATTTGCCTGGGGGTGGGAGCTCTGGGATAGGAGGTCAGAGGGCCAGCTTTAAAAGCCTTCACATTTTGACATGCTTTCCTGAACCCTAACAGTGTTCACATTCCAGAGTCATGGGTCTGGATTTGAATTCTTGCTTAATTGCCTAGTCCATGAGGGCCTTAGGCAAGCTGCAAAAATCTTCTGTGTGGTGGAATGGGAATGACTCTTCTCAAATGGTTCCAATGAGTGAGAGGCTTGCACAGCAGGAGGCCTGATTTAGGGTAGTTGTCACCATTACCCCCAGCTTGCCACCTCCTGGCTGACCTCTTAATAACAGCAGAAATAGTCACAGTGGGGAATGAGGACAACAAAAATCAAATAAGAATCTTGGGCCTTCAAGCCCCTCAGGGATGCTTTTCATCTATAAGGATGGGCTTGGTCCGGAGTGACTATTGGAGGCCTTGAGGATCAGTGAGACCTAGGGGTCCCCGGCTAAACTCGGAAGCTGGGTGCAGGTGTAGATATAAGTAGTTTAAGGATGCTCCATTTGGATACAACCCCCACAGATCTATCCCTTTGCTCTGAGATGTGGCTTTAGTAGGAAGGAAGCCAGAGTCACTCATTCCATGGGTCAGTCAAGTGCCCAGTGTGTGCCAGGCCATGTTCTGAGCACTAGATAAGAGAACAAGGAATAAGAAAGGAGGAAAAGTGCTGCCTGGCTGGTTCTGTGTAGATGACCAAGTTGACTGAAGACGTTTACTAAATGTCACCCTGTGCCATATTCATTGAGGGTGTGAGGGGGACAATAGTGAGCAAGACTACCAATGGCTTTGTTTCTCTTCTGTGTGCCTTACTGTTTAGATTGTTGCAGGGCACTATGCTAAACATTTTACCCCCGAAGTCTCATTTACCAAACCCCATGAGAGTTACTATTTGTTACTCCCATTTTATAGGAGAGGGAACAGCCAGCAGGAAGGTGAGAATGTAAGACCCAGTTCACCCTGACTGTAAGCCAGGCTATGCACTAGTTCCCTGTATAGATGACAAATAACACAGATGCTATGAACAAACAGTTATGTGGGAATTCCTCATCTGAAACCCCCTTGGCTTCTCCACAGGGCTACCAGCCCAGACGCAGATGGCCCAGATATGAGGCTCGGTGGCCAAACAGAACCTGACCTGGAAGAAGGTCCCTTAGGCCCTGAGGAGGACCTTTCTGTGAAGCGACTTCTAGAAGAAGAGCTATCCAGCCTGCTGGACCCTCATACAGGTAGGGATGCCCTGTGCTGTTTCGACGGCCATCATCCGCCCATGCACCCAGCTCCAGAGTTGTCCAATCTACTGTGGAAAGGGTTGTGGTCTGGGGAGGAGTGTGACCAGCATTTTATTTGTCCTGCAGTGTCAGAAAGTGGTTATCTGTTTATTTAGTTATGTGGCTGTGGTGGTGGTTTGCTTGCTTATGACACTATCAATATGTAGCCCAGGCTGACCTTGAAATCCTCCTGTCTCAACTTCGCAAAGGCTGGATTATAGTCATGAGCCACCATGCCCAGCTTTCTCTTGTTTAATTACTGGGTTTTACCTTTTAAATTTTTATTTATTTATTTTTATTTTATGTGCATTGGTGTTTTGTCTGCACTTTTGTCTGTGGGAGGGTGTTGGATTCCCTGGAACTGGAATTATAGACAGTGATAAGCTGCTATAAAAAGTAGACCCCAAGTTCTACTTTTTAGAAGTCATTGTTAAGAATAACAAACGAGGCTAGAAAGATGACTCAGTGGTTAAGAGCACTGGCAGCTCTTCTAGAGGACCTGGGTTCAGTTCCCAGCACCCACATGGCAGCTCACAACTGTCTGTAACTCCAGTGTCAGGGGATCCAACATCCTTTTCTGCACTTTACAGGCACTAGGTACACACATGCTACACAGACATACAGGGAGGCAAAACACTCAAATACATTAAATAGAATAAATAAATAAATCTTTTTAAAAAAGAGAGAATAACACAGCACAAGGCTTGACTTAGGGTCAGTGCTGAGTAAACAGTTACTTTTGGTCTGTGTGCCAAGCACCAGGAAAGACTATAGCCAGTCCTCTGGGGTAGACAATACCAAATGCAATGTACAGGTGAACACAGGTGCCCAGAGTCTCCTCAATCTTGGCTGGGAGCCCAAACCTGAGCAGTATAAACTCAACTGCACCGTTGCTTTTGGCATATTTAAATAACCTTTCACTCCAGAAAAGAGACAACTCCTTAATGTGCTAATTGAAGATAAAGAGATTCTTTGTTTTTCTTTTTCTTTTCTTTTTTTTTTTTTTTTCTTTTTTTTAGATTTTTTGAGACAGGGTTTCTCTGTGGCTTTGGAGGCTGCCCTGGAAC